GCGCTCACTCTCATTGCCCTGCTTAGCGTCTCATGTCTTTCTCCTGTGAAATCCAAAGTCCATCAGTGAAAATAACTGAATCCACTGTATCCACTGTAGTGACCAGTTTGCGTGAACATGTCGACTCCTCCACAGCTGTCACGTCATGTTGAAGTAACTTGAGTTTCTTGTCTTCATGCAGGACTTCCTACACTGACTGCAGTGGTTTGTGGGATTTCCGGCGTCTATGGTAAATACAAAGTGGAGCTGACGGATGAAAACAATCTTAACTCAACAGCAGCCATGTAAGAAATCAAGAGTTTGAATCTGTGCTCTGTTTCATGTCCAACTCAGCGGTTATTCAAACGTTCTTGGACTTTGTTGTTTTTTTGTTGCTAACCTGCAGATGCTGGATTAGCAGTGATTTCAAGCAGCGGCTTGTGGTCAGCTACATCACCACCGTGGCTCTCCCGTGTCTGGTGATCCTGTGTAACTCCTGCATGCTGGGGCTGGTGGTGTTCAAGATGTGGGGCCTGAGGAGGGGCGGTGAGAGGCAGAAGATGGACAGAGAGAAGGGATCCAGGTTGTGGAAGGACTGTGCCACGGTGATCGGGCTCAGCTGGGTGCTGGGTCTACCGTGGGGGTTAGCGAGCACCACCTACGTCTCCCTGCCGGGGATCTACGTGTTCACCATACTCAACTCCCTGCAGGGTCAGTGTGATGATCTTCATACAGGAAGTCTGCACTCCACCTTCACCCTTTTCTGAGAGAATTAAAACTCTTTTTTTTTTATCTCCTCAGGTGTTTTTGTGTTCCTGTGGTCTGTCGCTTTGACCTGCAAGTCTCGATCGGACATCTCCTCATCCAGAGACCCCTCCTCCTCCCAGAAAATGATGACAACAAGTTTTAATAACTGATTCTTCATTTTCATCTTCATGTATTATCCATTGCCTATATTAGGTGTTTACTGGAACCATAATAACTTAATTAGTCTGTGCTTTAAATAAAATCATTATAAACAATAAAAACCTTGGATTGATTGACTACTTCTAGAGTTATGTTCATGATCACTGAGGTAGTTCTTCTTGGAGCCAAGGAGGAGTCAGCACCACAGACTGTAAACATGAATGGACAAAGCCTAAGTGACATCACCCGTTTGTTCCCGCAGCGCCTTTGGAGTCCCATTGGTGGCGGTCTCCAGGCTGGAAATCCTCTCACCCTAACTTCCAGGAAACCTAACGACAGTGTCATGATTTGGTCTTGCTTAGTTTTGTGTTTTGAGTAATTCTTTATCTTGTTTTAGGTCTCATTCTTCCCTGGTGTTGCTTGTTTCCTTTGTGTGTTTTTATCTTATTTTTTCCAAGTTTAGTCTTTAGTGTTTCCTGATTTTATTTTGTAAAGTTTCTCTGTAAATTCTCGAGTTCTCTGTGTCTTTAGTGTTTCCTGATTTATATTGTAGTTTTTGTCCCCAGTGTTCACACTCTATAGCGGGGTGGCAAAAGTGCCTACACAATCGGACGCAGCTGATTTGGGTTTCCAGGGACTTTAACTACATGTCCTTTTAGTAATCCATTACCAGCCTTATCATATGGATCAGAGAGATGTGAGAACATGTACAGCTTTAAGGCCCTGACACATCAAGGAGATCGTCGCCCGTCGCTCCTAGTTCCTGCAGGAACTATGAACTATTTATGTTCCCAGAACCCCGTTTAGTGGAACCTTTTTAGCTCCTGCTTCAGAGTAGGTACCATGGTGGCATGGTACCATGAAGACAGAAAAAAGTCCCCATGTTGTGTAGTTGTCAGGCAACCTCCCGTCTCAAAAATGAAGCCAATGCGGAAGTGCAAAATCCTGCAGATTCATCGAGTGTCCACTAGAGGCCTGGCTCCAGGAACACCGGAAGTCACAAACACATGACTGGCAAAAAAACTGTTTTTACAGCATCAATAAACATGTTTACAGACTGGTACAAAAAACAAAATAGGTCTGATTAGTTATTGTCATCACTGACACACACCGTATGGGGGGTTCATTTATTTAAACGGCTCTGTTTTGATTTTGAAAACGATACATGTTATCCATAGTTAGGCGTGTAGCTGACATGATTAACAGCTCTAGCTCTCAGCCTGTCGTTAGGTTGACTGAAAGTTAGACTGAGACAGCATTTCCAGCATGGCGGCTGCTGCTGATGAGCCTCCAGACCCCCCTGCAGGAACAGATGGATGACGTCACTCAGGCTTCAGACCACCTACTGTAGGTGTTTTCGGACCAAACAGTTCTGGGTGCTGTTTGTGAGAGTAATTTGATGGTGAGCAAAAGGCTCATAAAATTACACTAACACTATTAGTACAACAAAGTAATGATACAATCAGACAGGAAGGAAAATTCTACGTTTAATGAATAATACAAAACTCAACTCTCTCTCTCTCTCTCTGATGTCGGACTCTAGCCACTGTCCTGTCTCTCTAATAATCGTACAAAAAACCCAGAAATTATCTTTAAAAAAAGTGACTGTCCTCTTTTAATGAGTGTGAGCTGCTTACACATGATTATTATTTCTAACAGTTTGTATTCAGATGAAGCAGCTCCTTAATTCTGCTCATATTTCAGTGAGAGCTGATGTCTCTGTAGGTCTGTGTGCACAAGTTTATAAATAATTTGAAGTCGACTTTGAGGAAGTCAAGGGGCCATATTTTGCCCGCATGCTGCCAGTTGAATTTCTCAGAAATCGTGGGGCAGCTCCGGCATGTTTGTATATATATTAGTATCACGACACTGAATTGACTCAGTACTGGTTTGATGATTAATAGACCACAGACAGGAAGTCATGGTAACATTTAGTTTTAATATATTTACAATGATAAAGTTAAAAAAAAGAAAAGAAAAGTATCAAATTTCAGTTCACTGTGAGTTATAAATGTTGTTGTTGTTTGCAGTTGTTATGAGGACATGATTGCCACCTGTGAACGACCCAAAAACCGTTTGGACAACCGTTTCATTCGGATGAAAGTGAACTCCTCTCAGGAGGTGAGAACGTATTCTTCTCCAGCTGTCTGGTAAAATACACTGCAGGTTTATATAACATGCACAAAAAAATGAGGAAAGTAGTCGTCTTCATCGTACACACACACACACACACACACACACACACACACACACACACACACAAACACATTGTCATCTGTCTTGCTGATTAGCTCTTGCAAGGTTTCTTTTGTTTACACACTCTGTAAAGACCAGTAGCCTCCAGGGTGGTCCCTATAAATAGAGAAGAAAAGACTAACAATGTGCTGCTATCGGCTCAAGGGGGGGGGTCACATGACCTGCATAGGAGGCGGACTCTGGACTCTTTTCTCATTAAAGGACTCACATCCCCCCCAAACTGTTTCTTTAGTGACAGCACAAGAACCTGTTTGTTAGAGGAAACACTTCCACCCAGTCCACCTGGCATTTTTAAGTCCTCCTCACTCGGGGTAAGTTCAGGTTTTTCTCTGATTTAATCACAACTTTATGGAAATGTTATAGAATTGTTTTTGTTCACTGGAAGAGAGAGAAAAAAGAAATAGAGAAGGATGTTAGAATTAAAGCTCCTGTGAGCAGTTTTTAGCCGGTTATAAAGCAGACTCAAACCAATTCTGATGCCTCTGTGTGAAAAGCCAACAAAACCGTCAGAGAAGGACTGATTATTTCTACATTGTATTTCTGATGTTTTAAATGCTTGTAACCATTGCCACAGGGACGATGTCAGGTAGCATGAGTTGCAGTTTTCTCACAGGAGCTTTAACGTAAAGGGCTTTCACACTTTCAGAAAACTCCTGAAAAACTCGGGATAGCGCGATGGCAGTCCTCATCTAGATATTTTCAGAAGTGCAGATGTGAAAGTGGCTGTAGTGTGGTATGTTCACCGTATGCACTATTAACTAGTTGCTTATTAGCGTTCTAATTAGTGCTGCAATTACAATAAAACCATAAAAACAATAGCACTAGTCAGACAGGTCAAATCAGGCATTATGTGAAGCACATAATACTGCACTGGCGGTATTCCCACTGGTGCTGAACAAGCGCGTCGAGTTTGTCCGTCTTATTGCCCAAAGACCTCCCGTTCCCCATAATCACCGCTGGTACAGAAGGCTTATGTTTTTTCTTCTTAGCTCATCTCTTAGCTCCAGCTCTACAACCCCGGCGTCGCCTCCTCAGCTCCCCCGGAAATACAGGCCTTGCTCCGGGCAGTAGCACCTTGGAGAGCGCCATCAGATGATCACGTGTGTACACAATGCCCTCACTCAGCTGTGCGCTGCTCTCCGTTACATAGAGTGTCCAAAGTAACAGAAAAACAGTGCAAAAAGTTCCAAGAGCAAAAGTAGCCATTTCCACACAATAGGTTAAACTAATACTCAAAAAACACACAATAAAAACAAATAATAACTAATCAAAAAATACGATATAACGACACGGACAACGGGAGCTGCTACAACCGGTGGCCACATCACACAGCGACGGAAGCGGAAGAAATTGTCAATCATTCAGCAAAGCAGGTGGACGGGCATTACAGCCTGAAAATGCCTTTTAGGAAAGAGCAGCCCATGCTTCCAAATAATCTATTGGTGGCCAAGCAAATGATTCTTGGGCTCACAAAAAGGTTTGAGAAAGATGAACAGTTTCATCAGGAGTACGCAAACTTCTTCAATGACGTCATTGGTAAAAGATATGCAGAGAAAATCCCTCAACATCAGATGGACTGTGAAGAAGGAAAAGTCTGGTATATCCCCCATCATGGTGTTTACCATCCCAGGAAGAATAATTTGCGGGTTGTGTTTGTGAAACAGGACCAGTATGCCAAAAGAAGGTGGAGACAGGTTCAATACATCTGGGATCTGTTCTGGAAGCGGTGGGTTCAGGAGTGCCTCCCTCTGCTTCAAGAACGGCAAAAGTGGAACAGAGAAAGGAGGAGTCTTGTGCCTGGAGACATTGTCATTGTCATGGATTCAACTGCCCCTCGTGGCTCTTGGCTGCTCGGCCGAGTGATCGAAAAACATTTCCTGACAAACATGGTGTTGTTCGGTCTGTTCGCCTTAAAACAAAGTCTAATGTGTTGGAAAGACCAGTCACCAAACTTTGTCTATTGAATGCAGCTGAAGATGTTTAATGATAATGCATTAATGGCATTGTTTTTGTTTGTGGCTCTTTGTTTGTATTTTGTGAAATGTTAGCTCCACTTGTCACTAACAATTAGGGACCGGAGTGTAAGAGCCATATTCATGTTTTTGGGTCAAGCTGTAAATCATTTTCACTATTGTGCCACTGGGTGTCGCTGTCCTATTGTTTAAGTCACAGGTATATATGTACGTCACTTGTCAAGGTACGGGAGGTGTTTGACCCCAGAAGGGCTTATGGTTTTTGACCGCTGAGGCGGCAGGCGGCATGGAGAAACCACAGCTGTATTGTTTGTTTGTTTGTTTAGTTCAAAAGAATGGAAACTGATGGACGCTGTATTCACTTCATGGTGCTGCAATAAATGGATTGTATTATGCTGCAAACCAAAGACACGACTGCAGAAATCTTATTGATCGACAAACAGCAAACGGGATCGTATTGACCTACGACAGTACGGCGCGTCAGCCAGGTCACTCCTGGGAGTCAAAACAAAACGGCAGCTTTAGTATTAGACTAAGCTTCTATAGTGTCCCTCGTGTATGTTTTGTTTCGAGTGGGCGCGAGCCGTCGGCAGGTTTCACCCATTCCTCCATCTCCAAGTTCTCCTCGATCGTCTTCAGGATGTCTAAACTGATCGCGGTGCTGTGGGGGACGCACTGAGGAGAAACACAGACGAGCTCTGATGGAACAAACACCACATGACTTCAAATAACACGTGAACTTTATCATTCATGTGGAGGCAGAGCAATAACATAGAACACCTTGTTCTGGCTTCTGGCCTTACAATAAACTACAAATACACCAGCTGGTACCAGGAGATACGTTTCAAATAATTCACTACACATGAAATAAAACAGCTTTGGTTTGAATATCACTTCAGAGAACATGC